TGTCCTGTTTTTAATTTCTGGGAAATTTTAAGATCTTTTGTCTTTGATGTAGAATTTCATGATGATGATATCACCTGATGTGGTTATTTTTGCAAGGCTTCTGACACACCCTTTCAATATGGAAACTCATGTCCCCCAGATGTGAAAAATTATTATATAGTTTCTTTCATATATTTCTGCACTAAAGTTTTCATTATTCTCTCTCTACATAATTACAATTATTTGAATGCTGAATCTTCTGGAATTAATCCTAGATACTCCTCAAATTATCTAGTATTTACCTCTTAGCTTTTTGTTGTGTTTTCTGGAACATTTCTTTAATGTTATCTTTCAATTCTTTTATTTTACTTTTAAGCTTTAATTTTAGTTTTATTTTAATCATAATTTTAATTTCCAAGAAAGCCTGTTTTTGTTTCAGTGTCCTTTTTCTAGTAAAGGATCTTGCTCTTCATTCATAAAACCAATAGCTTTTCTCTTGTCGTAGCTTTCCTATTTGTTTGCTAATTTATTTATGTGATCTTGAAGACTTTTACCAACTATATGGTGAACCTTTACAGTTTGCTCATGTTTAAGAGAAAGCATCAAACTAATTGGAAGCTCAATGTGAGGGGGTGGCATTTATTGAGTAGAAGGGTTCATTATAGGATGACTTGGTGGTAAACTGGCTTTTTTATTGAAGTTACCTCTATATTCAGAATTCACAGGTCCTTTCTCGGATGTTTCAGCTTATCTAAAGAAGGATCTTTCAGTCTCTTTGTCAGGCATCTAAGACACTGCCAGTGTTATGGAAGGTACTTGGGGAGACACTGTTGGTTATCATTCCCCCTATACTCTGGCAGCATCTCAATCTAACACTCTACTATGCCTGGTTGTCTGAGCCTAGATCTTCTTATGTTCAATTCCTCCTTAGAGAGGGATGGGTTTATAACTACTGTGATATAGCCTTAAGTACAATTCCCTTGTTTTTGGTCCATTTCCTTACTAGATCTTCTTATGTTCAATTCCTCCTTAGAGAGGGATGAGTTTATAACTACTATGATACAGCCTTTAGTACAATTCCCTTGTTTTTGGCCCATTTCCTTACCCTTACCTTCTGTGGTGCCTAGTACTTCACATTCCTGAGCCTTTCTGGGGTTCTGCTTGCCTGATTGGCTTGCTACTTGCTACTTTCCCCCTCAGTATAAGCACTTTCTATTCTGTGTTTAGTAAGTTACCACTGCTGTATCTTTATCTCCCAACTTAAAATACTACGGCTCTGGGTTAGAGATGTCAAAGCCAGAGTTTGCGTTTTTATTTTTTATTCTTGTTTTGGAACAGTCTCAGAAAAGGAAGGAGGCAGAAATATCTTTTATTCTACCATCCTAAAATTGGAAGTTTGTTCAATGTTTCTGAATGAATGTTGGGACATTACCTCACTGGATAGTTTATACAAACTACTGTAATAATTTTGATATCTTTTGATTTTTATATAACATAAAGTCCTAGTCACTCTGTGTTACTCAGTAACCTGAAGAAATGTTCACAAAGGGTTGGTTTCTCTTGGCATCCTAGGCACATTACAATTTGGTTGTCTGCTGCTATTTCACTGCAAACAGTATTGCTCTCACTTTTCTGTCCTAAGATGCTCTGTTTTTTACATAGACAGCAGTAGAAGCAGTTGTTCTCTTTCACTCTGAGAGTGATTATCTCTTAATAGCAGGTAGAGTGACTCATTCTCTTATACATCTTAAAGGAGACTTTATTATTTGTGGGGAATAGAGTGTGCGGAGAGGAGAGTTCCAGCAATGTGTCAGGAACTGCATATTCTGGACTAGCATAAAAAGAAGCAACTTCTTCCCCGACTGCAATTTCAAAGCCTGGAAGTAACAACCCACATCTAAGGCTCTGAAAAAATTACATTATTCATAACCAGGACCATGATTCACATAAATGGAACAAAATGGAATTATCAAAAATAGATTCTGTAGATCAATCTGTACCAAAAAATATCTTCTGACTGAGCTTGTGAATTGGCTATAATCCCAGGGACCATTCCATTGAAGTTCTATTGCCTTCTCCTCTACCTCGACTGAATAACCTTTATACTTCTTCCATCCCACATTCTTGAAGCTCAAGGTATTTGGAAAACAGGTTTTGTCATAAGGTCTCCTCTTCTTTTTCTTACGGTTTTTAAAAATGATACTTGCTTAAACATATCTTGTGTTAATTGTGCTTATTTAATTGGTCACCTTGAATTATTAGGCACTTGTCATTTTTATGATTTGTACATTGACCCACTATTATTTTTAGTAGCAATGATTATAATAACCTGCAGAGTGGGTTAGAAGGGCTTTTCATTTGATGAAATTTGAATTCCTGCCAGAACTATTATTTGTTTCAAATATGAGCAATATGATTTTGGTCCTTTTACCTCAGTAGTTTTTCTCCTATTGATTTCCTGCTTCTCCAAGAGTAATAAATCTTTTTCAGGGAGTAGTAAACAGAAAAAGACAGTTCGTTTGATAACTATTGCTGTATTACATATAGACACACACAGTATTGAACGCCTAACGTTCAAGGAACTGCATGAGGTGCTCTAAAGGATCTAAAGATGAGAATGTCAGATGCTTTCAGCTGCAAGTAACAATGACAAAGACATGTCATGAAGACATTATTACATATGAAGACGTTTATTATTTCGTGAAGAAATCCAGAGAAAGACCAGTTCTAGGGTTGGAACAGTGGCTTAATGATGCCTTTTAGCTTTGTGCTTTGCCATCATCATTGGATTGGCTTTTTTATTCAGGATTATATATTAATGTTCACAGATGTTTTACTTAACTATAGATATCATGTCCTTATCTAATCACATCCAATGGCAGAAAAATCGCAGTTTTTCTTATCTGTCTTTGTCAGGGAAGAAAATTTATCTCAGAAGTCTTTGGCACATTTCCTTGTCTCCTACTGGCTCAGCTCAAGTTAGGTGCCGATAGTTTAGCTGAAGGGCAGCTGGAAAAGTATTTGTCATTTCAAATATATATTGTGGACGTCTGTGTGACTATTGTGTGTCTGCCACAAGGAATAAGATGAAATCTTACTCTCCTGTCAAGAAGCTTTGTGTCTCCTGGAGCAGAAAGACTAGTTGTAATTATATTACAATTAATGTGTAGTAGATTGCTGGACACACTCATGGGCTTCAAATTAATGATCCCTTTCAAATTAATGAAAGAAAATTGCTCTAGGTACTTTTCATTCAGAGTTGCCAAAGCTGTCCCCTCCCATTGTCCCCAATTTTTAGTTACAAGATCTGTCGTGGTCACCTTTTTTTAAGTGTTGTTCAGGAATATAGTATCAAGTTACATAGCACGATTTTAAGTTATGTTCTGTTTCTCCAAAATGCCCTTGCTCTTCCATCTCCACCTGCCCAATCCCATTCATCCTTTGAAGAAAACTAAAAATAATCCCTCTTATTTACTTCATTTATTCAGCAAATATCTGTTACATGCTTACTCTGTAGCAAGCACTCTCCAAGTGTTGGGGTTACAAGACATGAGCTCTGATCTCATGGAGCTTATAGTTAGGTAGGGAAGATTGACAATAAATGGTAACAACTAAGTGCTGGGGAAGAATAAGGTACAATGGGAGGACTGGCATGCATACTTACATTGTGGTGGGATGGGAGCAGACAGATTAAGACTTCTTGAAGACTTTTTTTTTTTTTTTTGAGAGGGCATCTCTCATATTTATTGATCAAATGGTTGTTAACAACAATAAAATTTTATTGTTAACAACAATAAAATTCAATGCTCAATGTACAATCATTAATCCATCTCAAGTCATAACGAACAAGTTCTTACATGGTGAACGAATTCTTACATAGTGAATAAATTCTTACATGGCGAACAGTACAAGGGCATTCATCACAGAAACTTTCGGTTTTGATCATGCATTATTCTTGAAGACTTTTTAAAGGTGATACCTGAAGGACAAGTAGGAATTGGGAGACAGGAATGGAAGGGAAAGTGTTCAAGGTAAAGAGAATAGGCTGTTGGAAATCAAGGAGGTGAAAGTATTGGTAAAGCACCCTTGAAAAAGGCCAATTTTATTCCTCATCTCTCAAGTAATTTCTTCCTGTAATGAAATCCATAGCACTTAATATGCAACTTTTAGACCATAAGATCTCTTAAGGCGAAACATAGGACTTACACAGAGTGCTTGATAAATAGTAAGGCAGTTTCAATGGAGAATGAAGCTTTATTATGTGTCAATGCAAAATGCTATCTTAAACATTAAAACATGAGGTAAGAGGTGGATTATACCACATGTCTCTTCAAAATGAAAGGAATAACATTACCTGTCTAGGTGACTACAGAAACCAAAGCAGCAGGGAGGAATTGATTCATAAGTTCTGGAGGAAGAACAAGGTAATTATAGTTCCAGTCCTCAGATGTTACTTTAAAGGCTATTTCAGGAAACATAACGAAAACCCGGGTACCCATGAGAAAGAGAAAATAGCCACTCACTTTAGTTTGCAAGAACGTTTCTTTTTAAATAGTCTCTTGATATCACCTGCTGTTTGGGTCAGGGTTTGGTGATTGGTGGGGAGGGTCTTTTACCAGACCTTACAAGCTACTTTTAAAATCAAATATTAAAAAAAAAAAATCAAATGTCCTTGTCATGACTCAGGTTTTCACCTTTTCATTTAAGATACATTTTCCAAAATCCTCCTCCCACTTGATTCTGAGAGGAATCAGAAATGAGTAAATTTTGAAAGAGAAGGTTGGTGTTCAGCTGTTGCCTTGATAGGCCAGAACAGATATTAGTTCAAGAACCTCTATTTTTTCCCCTTAATTTATTCTAGTTCAGCAGTTCATCCCTAGGTTTGAGAAGGCACTTATTTGATCCTGCTGTTTTTATAGCTAAGTAAGTAACTCCCAGGTAATGAGAACATGTATATAAATGTTGTTTTGTGAATGAAAAGACACTACACACAAATGTTAAGGACATTTTTTATTATGAACCTGGGAAGTATTTTTGAAAACAGTTTTTAAAAATGTCTTCTTCAGGGGCAAGGATTACTTTTTTGGATGCTGTCTATAGAATGGTGAGGTGGGGATGTCAATTTCTCTAATTTTGGTGATTCTTAATCTTCATCTTTTAATAGACTTTATTTTTTTAAAGTTTTACACAAAAATTGAACAGACAGTACAGCAGGCCCCCATATACCTTCCCCTTCCACTATTATTGTTTTGTGTATGATAAATTTGTTACAATTAATGACTCAATGTAAAATATTATAATTAACTGAAGTCCATATTTATTCAGATTTCCCTTGTTTTTGCTCATGTCTTTTCTCTTCCAGGATCCCATTCAGTTTAAAACTTATGTTCAGTTGTCATGTTAAAGTCATGTTAAGTAACAGTTAAGTACATTTAGTTAATTACACTTAGTTGTTATGTCTCCTTAGGCTCTTCCTGCTGGTGATGTTAACCTTCATATTTTTGGGTCATGAGCTGGGTTGAAAAATCTGATGAAAATTACGAATCCTTTCCACAAAAAAATGCACATACTTCAAATGTGTAATTTAATGGAGATCTGCCTATAGCTGATTCAGAAGCCCTGCTTGAGGAGAAATGACTAATCTTTAAAATACCTGCTCTCTGCATTTGGTCTCAAGGTCAGTCTCTACCTCTAATTTGCTGTGACCTTTCTGCAAAGCTCTTTCCCAAATGGGCCTCAGTTTCACCATCTGTGAAATGGCAGGCTTGGTGTACATGATGTCTAAATCCTTTCCCAGCACAGTGAAAGATGGACATCACCTAGCATTGTGGCTTCTGGTAGTTATGAAACTCCTGAGAGCAACAGCAGAGAATGTACCCAGTAAGATATTGAGTGAGGAATTATGATAAGAAGAACGAGAATATGGGAGGGTGTACTGATGAAGAGCGGATCTGAGGAATGTGTTGTTCGGCTCAAGGCTCAGGCAAGAAGAAACTGGTTCACTTTCAGGATCTCGAATCACACCCGCTCCCTGCTGGGGTCAATTCCACGTCCATTCCGGCCCCGCCTTCGTCCCACCTTCTTTCCTTCCATTCATGCGGCGACGTGCCACACTCTGCATGGCCGTCACCTTGCGACACTTTCCATCACGCGAGGGCTCTGCGCGCGCTCTCGCACTGCCAACTCACTCCAATCCCTGTCCGCCTTTGGACTTTTCCGATTGGCTCATTACTTAAGTGATGAAAGTGTTCCTTATTCCACCCCTGTTTCCCTCGGGCTCCGCCCCGCCTCCTCCCCGTTTTCCAGACGCGAGTTGAAAGCTAACCTACCCTCGTCTACGTTTCCCGGGAAGAGTCGGGGAAAGCTGGCTAAACCAGGAAGGCACTTGCTGTGGCGCGCACGCGCACGCACGTACGCACGTCGGCGGCTGAAGGGGCGGCAGGCTCGTGCCCGGGCTCGCCCCTCGCCGCGCCAGAGGCTCGCGCACTCAGCAGGTTGTGCTGCGGCGGCGGCAGCTGTGGGAACCGACGGGCTGCGTGTGAGAGGTCCCAGACGCGTGTGCGACTCCGGCCCCGCCACTCTCACCCCAGTTTCCGTGCCGGGTGCTGAGAAGGGAACGGCGCTAGCCTTGGGAATCTTGGAAGCACACCCCTGGCTGCTTCCGACACCGCCCTCCTTCCCTTCCCAGCCGCGGGCCTCGCTCGGTGCTAGGCGACTCCGCGGGGAGGCGGCAGTGACGATTGCCTGTCCGTGGAGAGGAGTCCTCCCTAAAGCCTTGCTGCGCTGCCCGGGCCCTGCAGTGGCCGAGAGCTCGGCGCCCGCCCCCTCTCGCCTTTTTCGTCAACGGGTTAGGGCAGCGTCGGTTCGGGAGGTCTCTGGGCTGAGGCGGCGGCTGGTCCTCCGGCTCCATCATGTCCGCGGGCGGAGACTTCGGGAACCCGCTGAGGAAATTCAAGCTGGTGTTCCTGGGGGAGCAGAGCGGTAAGTGCGCGACTCCCCCACTCCTGGCAGCTGGCCGCGGCTTCCCCGCGCCGCCCCCAGTGCGGCCCTTGCGTGCATGGAGGCTCTCCGCTGGCCTTGCGTTCCATCCCCCAGCCCTTCCCCGTGTTTGCCGTTCCTTCCTGGCTGCTGGCTTCACTTCACCTTGGTCGGTCGGTCGGATTTTGACCCTTCTGTCCCCGACTCCGCCGTTTCCTTCCGCGCAACGCGGGCCTCTCCAGTCCGTCTCCCTTCCCCAGTCCTCACCCCACCCAGCCCCAGCCTCCCGTCCATCCCTTTCTTTCTCCGGTGTCCGTCGTTTCACCAGCCCCAGCCCCTTTCTTGAGCCCCACCCTTATTGTTTGCTCTTTTCCCAGTTGGTCAGCTCCAGGAGACCCACTCCGCGGAATCGGCCCTCCTCAACCTTGGGCAAGGAGGGTGGGATCTGGGCGTTGTTTCCCCCAGAGGCTTGGCCCTGAGAACTGCGGGTCTTCTGGAAGGTGGGAAGTGTGTGTGGGGGGGGGGTTCTTAGAAAAATTCTTGGATGATTTCCACCTGGGTGGGTAATTAGTTTGGGTTATAGAGTATATATATCTGAATTGGAGGCGACTTGAGGATAGAGTGGTTGTGGGGTGAAAGGGTGGCGGCAGCAGTGGCAATTTTTGTTCCTTGGGTTAGGCTGTGGTTTGTTGGAAAACCTCATATTCTTTTCTTGACTTTCATCCCTGCAAATTCTTTTGGCCGTGTGATGCTTTTCTGATCTCTGCCAGATGCTATGTCATGATCGTTTTACTTGGAATTTTTCACATCTCACCTCTCCTTTTTCTCGTGTCAATCTGAAGCAGTGTCTGATTCTCCTTACGGTGGTGCAAACAGGAATTATACTAGGGAAATGTTAATTATTCTATTTCCTGTGTGTTTTACAATTACATATTTAGGATTCCTGCGAAAGAAGGCTTGAGAATAACGAACATCATTGTTTTTGTACGATTTCCTTTGGGGTTAGGGAGTAATGGAGTAGGATAGGAATAGATTCATCATCTGGTTACATAAAATAGATTTAAATGTACAATACCATTTCAGCTAATTGACTCTTTTATGCTTAATATTCCATAGTGTCCGATGATCATTTACCTGGTTAGGCTTCTGTCAGTGCTGTACTTTGTGTTTAGATACAAGATCCTAATTTTGTGATGGCTGTTTCTAAAATTGCTTCTTGTGATAATTCGAATTTTATGCTGTATTATGAAAATTTGACACTCAGCAGTTTAAAGATTATCATCCCCCTTTTTTCTCACAATTTTCATGACCATCTTTAAAATCCAGACATTGAGAGATAATTCCTCCCAAGTCATCAAACACTGAGTCACCTACTGAGTGTCTTAGGTTAGGTTATAGAATAATCAGTTACTTCTTTTGATTGGAAAGAAAATAACTGCTATAAATTCAGAGCTTTTATTACTGCCTTGAACTGTTTATACTAATTAGTATGGCATTAAAATAGGTTAAAACTAGTTATAGAATTGCTTCCAGTTGGACCTGAGGAATCATTTTTCTCCTCCCATACATAATCACTCTCCTTCATGTCCGTTCACCACCAAGGAAAAATATAGTCTCCTTTTTGAGTGTGAATTTTCCTGAAAGTATAAGCTTTTTAAGTACATGGTAAAGATCTTTGAGGTTGATCCTGGGCTAGGTATTTTATGTCAATTTCAGGATAGTGCCATACATAAAATAACAGCTTATTGGTCAGTATCAATAAACAGGATCTAAGTGCTTATTGTGCACTCCAGGGATGTTATTGCTTGCCTTATGTTGTGATACAGAGCTATTTCGTTTGTGTGAAAAATCCATTAATCTCTTAGGAAGATATTAGTATGAATAGAGATCATAACAAGTATCTGCAGGTTTCCTTTGAATTTCTTGAGTGTTTATGTTCTCAGTCACATTGCAAAGTTTTATGGCTTCTCGTTTTTAAGTCTTTACCTCCCTCCCCCTCCTCGTAATTCTTGAAACCATCTTAGATTTTTTTAATAGACTATTTTTTAGAACAGTTACAGATTTACAGAAAAATTGAGATTATCAGAGGGTTCCCATATGGCCCCACCCAGTTTCCCCTATTATTAACAACTTACGTTACTATGGTGCATTTATTAGAATTATTTAGCCAATACCCATACATTATTATTAACTAAAATCTAGAGTTTATTCAGATTTCCTAGTTTTTATCTTTTTCTGTTTCAGCATTCAGTTCAGGATGCCACATTACATTTAGCTGTCTCTCCTAAGGCTCCTTTTAGATTTTTTTTTTTAGGATTGTGTTTACATGCTTTTTAACTCAATGGAAGGATAATTATCTTTTGAGGCTACTATATTGCTAAGTAATGCCATCCACTAGCTTTGACAGTGAAAGATTGGTATCTGTTGTCATGGGCTGTGTCTGTAGTTTTCTTAAGCATTAGCAAAGGTCTGTAGAATCCATGTCATCTTGATGTAACTCTATGAATTATTTATTTTTAGGTTTTAGAATTCCACAATTCAGCTTTCAAAGACTAATGTGTAGCAAAGCCTTATTTGTCTCCTTGATAGCATTGTACCACATATATAATTCTTACTTTTCTTGTTTGTTTTTTATTTCCCACAGCAAACTGCAAGTTCCATGAAGATTAAAAACTATTGTTTTTTTGTTAATTGTATCCCCAGTGCTAGCATAGTGCCACACTTGTAGTAGATACTCAGAAATATTTAGTGAATGAATGTAATGAATATTTCAACAATAACATTTTGTACTTAAATTATTTGATTGGACACAGGGATACTCCAGATACTCAGTGGGGCAGGGAGCCCAGTAATTTATAGTCCTCACCATATAATTAAAAAAAAAAAAACAGACCAGGATTTTGCAGTTTTTTTTTTTACTTGAAGTCTTTTTTTGTAAAAGCTATTGTTAAATTATTGCTATTAACACAGCACTTAGAAAAGTATGTCAAAGAATATTAAAAAGATGTTCATGGAACTGATATGAAGTTAAGCAGCCTGTTTTATTTATTTTATCAAAAATTTGAGGATACATGCTCCGTAACAAAGATGGGTTGTTTCAGTATATGAAGCCTCAGATTGAGTTAATGATATCAGTTTTGGTAATCTCCCCGTAAACTTGTGGTTTCTTTATATATCAGTAGTATACATGGTTTAATAAAGGGATATTGAAATATACAATTTGAATCTGAAGTTTGTTTGAGGAATCTCTTGTTACTACCTGTGGCTATTGTCTTGAAATGTAGAGGCACTTTTACGAATGTCATTCATAGTTTTCGGTAGAAGGTGGTATTACTACAAATGTTATAAATTGGGTTGTAAATTAGGAACTGTAATCTCAGGGTGAAGCACATACCTGGTTTACTATATTAAAAGTTAACTGACAAAATTTTAAATATTCAGTTCATTTAAAAATAATAGTATTTTATTAATTATTAACTTAATTTTTTAAAATAAGTTAATTTTCATTAACTTATTAATGTTAACCTAATCGTTTTTAATGAAAAAGAACTAGTTTCCAAACAAAAATTTAGTGAGGGAATGGCATTATTTTGCATCTCTTTAATGTTTGACTTATTAAAGACAACCAGATTCTAACAGTTCCTTCTCCATTCAGTTGTAATACCATACATCACATAGGCTCTAGGAAATTCCACTGTACACGTAGAATGAGAGTGAAAAAAGATGGGAACATTTTAGTATGAAAATGATTTTGACTCCCAAGAGTGTAGTGGACCCCCCCTCTGTAGGGTCTTGGGGGTCCTGGGGGGTTGGTGGACCACACTTTGAAAACTGCTGGGTGAGATGATGTCAAGCCTTTTATACCTTGCAGCTTTACATTGCAAGTTACGAGAGTCAAGGGGAATGTTTCTGTATCTTGTTTTGAAAACTTAAAACTAAATAGTAGAGCTAGTGTCGAAGAGCACAGAGTCTGGATTTCATATTTTAACACCGGCCACTGACCTTGGCCTCTTTACACTTCATTTTCTTTTTCTTAAGATAATAGCACCTATCATAGAGTTATTGTGAAGATTAAATTTGTTAAGAAATGTCATGCTTTTAGAATACTGTCTGGCACCTGGGAAGTGCTCAGTAAATATTTTAATTTTACAAATGAGAACTACTCTGTCAAGTCGTTTGGTAGAGCCTACCCTTAAAAATTTTGTTTCCTCAGGAAAGAAATATGTAATGCCTGATAACAGTGTGATGAGTCCAGCCTCGTTGAAAGATCCAGAGAAGTGATGGGGAGTGTGGGGTTTCAGGGAAGTCACATTATAAATACAGCTGATAGTTTAAACATCTTTCAATTGAGATGCTTGAATAACATTCCAAAGTTGGAGGAGATTTCAAGAAGTCATCTATGCATTTCTCTTAGGTCTTTAAATTGGATCACTTCCTCCTCCCCGCAACTTTTAAAAATAGGTAATCTAATCACATTTCACAAATCAAAAGGTGTAAACTGAGAAAACTTACATACTTCCCTGTTCCTGTGACTGTTCCCTACGCCACCCCCTCTTCCTTTAGTAATTATATATTTCATTTTCTTGTGTATATTCTGGAATTTCTTTATGCAGATACAAGCAAATATGAGTGTAATTCCTTATTGTCCCTTATATATAAGATGTATCAGACCTAATTCCGTGCCTTGCTTTTTTCACTAATATATCCTTGAGATCTTTTCATATTAGTACATATAGAGCTTTCCCATTTTATTCTTTTGTTTTTAAAGTCTTTTAAAATAGTTCTGATTTACATAAAACTTGCAGAGATAATAGAGACCCTATACCCTGTTTCCTCTAAAATTAAGAACTCATAGTTAATGAACCAACACTGATATATTACTATTAACCAAAATCTGTATTTTATTTAGATTTTTTTGGTTCTTTCTAATGTTCTAGGATCCTTCAGGATACTCCACTCGATTTAGTTGTTAGGCCTCTGTAGGCTATTCTTGGTTGTGACAG